AAAGAACTAAGAAGAACACTGAAAGTTACTATCCTGGTTACCTAAATTTTCTTCCACCTAATTTTCGAAGAATGAGGGAAAAAACTGCTTTTACTTTTGGCACAAGGAGACTATAATAGGACATGTTTACTCACCTGTGATTTATTAAGACTCTTAATTACTCCAAATTATTCATTTGTTATCAAGGTTTTAAAGGGGACAAAAAAAGTTCATGTAAAACATTTACTATTATGTCAAACAGAACTTTTTTTCTCTACTTTCTTCTTATCATTATCTTCACATCATGCTCAGCAGTAAAAGATCCATGAGGCCATCTCTACACATCTTGGAGAAGAAAAATGGGGAGAGGAAGGCTCTTCTTTCTTTTGACATTTCTTTTTAAGATGTCTAAGAGCAAAAGGCTAGGTTCAAATAGGAACAAATGGATTTAGCAAGAGCTGAAATCTTGCAACTCTTATTCAGCTAGCTATCTCTGTACTTCATTGGAGTTATTTGCACAATGAACAGTGGTGGTCTTTTTTTTGCGAGGCTTGGGGAATTATCTTTGGCTCACTTTAGTAGGTTTTAGCAAGACAAAATGTCTACTGAAATCTTATCCTCGTGCCAAAACCAACTTTCAGGATGTTCAATTTGAACCAACTCAGATGGAAAGTCACCTCAAAACATGATCTTAGTGAAACTCTGAGCACGGTGCTATAAAAACTAATGGGTGCTCAGGTAAAAAGAAATGCTTATGCAAAACTGTTCCCTACAACATGTCGTGTTTAGAAAACATCACTCAAAGTTATATTTACTATCCCATAGTTTTGATTGCATCGACACCAGTCTTTCTTTTCATAGATAATTCTTAGTTAGGCAAAATTAGACACTGCTGAAATGTCTTAGAGTATAGATAATGATGAATGATGCCTTCTTTAGTCCTTATTTGAAGTTATGGAGACTTCAGCATTAAGAAAGCCACAAACAGTTGTGAATAACCAGCAACAAAACACCAATAATCCTGAAGCTTAAGCGCTTAGTTATGATATGGCCCATAGTAAATGATCCAGGGAAATCAGTCCCATTCTTTTCCATATCAGTACCTTTCTGCGATCTTCAAGCCAGGAAAATATGGAAAGGGAAGGGAATGACTTGCATTTCTTGACATGTGCTCTAAACCTGTTGGAAAGTGCTGTCCTCATGCTGAGGTCCCAAATCATTTCAGAAAGGAAGCAACATTGAGAGCAGCACAGCACAAACTTGGGAAGTAACTAATCTGGTAGATCACCTTCACATGAGAAGTACATCAGTTTTGTAACTGAACATATACAACGGTAACACCAAGGCCTTCAAACTATGTAGAAAAAAAAGTTGTTGTAGCTATTTTCATCATGAAACTAATATATAAACAAACCTTTGTATTCAAAACTTCTATCATTTTTTCCACAACTGAACAAAAAATAGTCAATGCAACCCAACTGTGTGCATAGCACTTGAAAGCTTCAAAGATTTTCTAAATAAGATGCCAGTAAAAGGACAGCAAAGTACGAAACCTTCATGAAGATGGATGGTGAGTAGAGGAGTTGTTACCCCAAGGATTAGCTCTTATTATGCCTCAAAGTTAATTTAGAAACTTATTCTTCAAACAACTGCTGCGATATCCTGAATATATCTCTGACTGTGAGTAAATCATTTTAACTGGAGCAGTAGTAGTAAATCCTAACAAAACATTAATTATGTTTTGCTAGAGGGCAAAGGGTACAAAATATGTTTTTCCTCTTTTAGAGACACCACAGCTTTTCTTCAGTGCAGTGACCGCAGCCAAAATGCATAGAGTTGCCATGTTTAGTGCATTGTCTTTCAATAGCACTGTTTTCTGATATATTTTTTTTAAGCCAGAAGTTTCTGAGTTTCTTTGTAAGGAAAGTGCTTCTGTGAAGATAGTCTGTTCTCCTTGCATTTGACAACTAGATACGCATGCCAGAAATCTTTGCCAGACACTGCTTAATGTGATTAAATAATTAAAAAATATAAATATTCCAATTATTGACTAGCTATTTTGTTTCAAAACTCTTAAAAGAAGACTGACAAGCAACAAGGGATGAACAGATAAAAATACAGCATAGCCTCAACAAGCCTGCTGCCTGCCTTGAAATAGTGCAGGGAGCATGCACTGCAATCCAATTATTTTCTACTAAAAGACATGGATAGAACTAGCAGCAGCTGCACATAGGTTCTATCTGCTTCTTACTCTGGAATCTAAGTTTTAAAAGCATGCCTGGAGTGAAGCGGAACCTTTTGTGGAAAAATGCTGGATTTCCCAGTACACGGAATGTGCCAAATTTCTTCATGGAGGCAAGGTGGTGGTGATGTTGCTCTGGAATGGGAAATTTTATTCCTTCTGCAGTTGTTTTAGTACAGGCTCTCTGCAGATTCAGCTAGGCTTCTCATCATGAATTCCCCGTTTTCATAGCTCTCCCCACAGGGAAAGACAATAAACCTGTGTGCATTCCCTGTGGCTCTGCTACCCAAACATCAAGAATCCCTGATCTACGAGCTTGATTAAGCAAGACAGTAGGTCTGGTTTAGATGAGGGATAAGCTGTGGAATTCTCAGAAAACAGGCTGAAATGGCTGTGAAGCCAGACATGTTTCAATGAAGGAGTCTGTTTTGAATTATGCTTCCTATTAGCGGTAGATTTAAAAATTAGGGAACTAAGGGCAAACCTGGAACTTAACAAGGCTTTAAATACGCCTGAATCACAAATCTTACCAACTGTATGATGGGCAGGTCTTCATTGCAACAAGGAGGACTTTAAGGAAATAAATAAGTAGAAAAAAACCCATATAAAATAGGGAGGATGGAAAATAATAAAGGTAAGTTATTCTTCTCATTTTATTTTCTGAAATCCCAGGGAAGCTCATACAAATGGTAAACATATGGAAAAAATTATCAGGAAAAGTGATCTTAAAACAAAGACTACAACAGAGTTCAGGTGACACCTTTGACTTATTTCTGGAACAGAAATGGATGGAGCTATAAAGTCAACATAAGAAAGCAGGATTAAAATTAACCTGGAGAAGGGCAAGCAAATTAAATTGGAAGCCATTTTCCTGTTCTTCATGGCAGCTTCCCAAAACTGCATGTATGAAATGTGTAATTTAACATAAGCCTGAGGAGCCCTTGTTGTTAACTAAAGGAAATTAATCAGACGTATTCTTGAAATAGATGAGTAGTGGGTATTTAAACAAACACAAAAAGAAAGATATAGATATACACATAAGAACCCAGATTCACATTCAGGTTTATTTTGAAATTAGAGAACTAACATAGAAATGATGCACAACATTATGCAGGTCAGTTAACTGCTTCACTTTTAATCAAGATGGCCATAAAATCAGGTAATAAAGCTGCAATGCTTTGAAAACCCAGATGTATTTGAAAAGAATTGTGCTGTATAATCAAAAGGGATGTGAGAGGTCAGGAGAATCATATAATCTAACACTATGTCTACAGTGCAGATTTCTGTGGGCACAGCTACATCAACCAAAGAAAGAAACTGTTTAATATCAGATTGATACGTATGTACTGCCAGCTGGGATTAATATAGGTGTCCTGGTGCAAAGGAGACATTTTATAAATAGTATTTTTTTTCCCATGCCTTTTTTATTTTTTTATTTTTTTCCCTACACTGGTAGGATATACAGATGTGCTCCAACACAAACATTTTCTTTATTAACAACACAGATATAGCCAAAACCATCAAGGTCACAGAAGCACATGTTAGGAGTTTACTTGAGCCATTACTACACTAAACACATGACATCACTGATGCATTCCAATACAGATGACTAGTGATTTGCTGGCAAAATATAACACAGCTGTCCCTGTGAGCAAAACAACCCTTCTACAAAGTTGGCTCCTATTCAAAGCTGGTCCAGCTGCGTTGCTCAATGACCACTCCTCTGCCCACCACCAAGAGATCTATCCCAAGCACTTTCCATTTCTTTATGTGTGCATGTCACTTCCTCTCCTCAGGTTACGTGGCCTTACTGTGCCAGCTGCAGCTGTTGGGACACAGGCAGAGCTGAGGCAGGGTTGTGATTTGCTCTCTACAACTATCTGAAAGGAGGTTGTAGCAAGCTGAGTATTGGCCTCTTTTTGCAGACAATAGATTTAAGTTGGACCAAGAGAGGTTCGGGTTGGATATTAGGAAAAAAATTATTCTTGGACAGAATGGTGATACAGTGGCAAAGGCTGCCCAGGGAGGTGGCAGAGTCAGTGCCCCTGGAGGTGTTCAAGAACCGTGCAGATGTGGCACCGAGGGACATGGTTTGTGGGCATGGTGGGGATGGGCTGGTGGTCAGACTACGCTCTTCTGCAACCTTAGTAACTCCATGATCTGCTATCCTATGCCTTGACGCTGGCAGCAGGGTAGAAAGGAAGCTTGGATAACTTGCAGTGCAGAGGTCAACATCCTCTGCCTTGTTCCCTCAGCAGTGCTATCCCACCTGCCCACAAGCAAACTGAAGTCTGCACTGTGCTTTAAACGAGGATTAAAGACATTTAGAAGTAGCGGTACCAATGTTTACCACCCTTCAAACCCACCAGCCAAGCCACAGGCATGGCTCAGCCCACTGCCGGCTCCTAACCATGCCTGTTCGTAGAGCCGGAGGGAACCCGCCCTCAGCTTAGGAAGCACGGAACAACAAACGGATCAATCAGAGAGCGACTTCCGGGCCTCTCATCCAATAGTCAACCTCTCGCGTGCCGCGGGGCAGAGAGGAGTGGACGACCACCGCTAAGCGCCATGCTCGGTTCTGGCAAGAAGAGAGCGTCCGCACGCAACACGACTTCCGGCACAAGTCACGTGGACGGCGATGCCTCGTGGCGGGGCGTTGCTACGGGGGACACCCAGCAGCGGCTGTAAACATAGGGACGGCGGAGGCGCACGCGCGGCTCTAGGGGGCGGTACGCGGCGGGCGGGCGAAGCCCCGCTCCTCCGGTATGAAGCCCCGCCTCGGAGCGCGAAACCCCGCCTTTTTGCTCGAAGCCCCGCCCTGGCGGCTCTAGGCCGTGCCGTTGCGGCCGCGGGGCGGGGTTGCCGCTTCCTCCCCGGCGGGGCCGAAGCCGGGGCACGGCCCAGGCGAGTCGCCCGCGGGGTGCGCCCGCCGCCCGCAGCATGCACGGCGCCGCTATCCCCGAGGACGTCTGCGGCCTCCTGGCAGGTACGGCGAACGGAGGAAGGGCAGGAAGGAGGGAGGGCTTCCCGGGGGGCGGGCGATGGGGGGCGGGCCATGACTGGCCGGTGTGGGCCGGGGCAGCCCCCGGCGCTTGGTAGCGCCCGCTCCGCGCTCCTCGGGCGGCTTCCTCCTTCTTCCGGGGCGCCGCCGCCGCGGGCACTGATGCCCTGCAGCCGGAGCGGTGCGGGTGGCCCGGCTGCCGCCTCGTTCCGTGCCTGTTGGCGACGGCGGGAGCGGGTGCGGCGTCCTTCGCTCAGCCCGGTCGGTAGGAGAGCCGGTACTCGGTCGAAAAGCCCCGCAGTTCCGTGCTGGAGGCCGACGGCGTCGTGGGGCGCCGAACTGTTAGTCCATGTGCCCGAGCTCAGAGCCGGGCTCGCGGCGTGGCCCCGCGGCTACGATGTGGCTGAGCGCCGCGAGGAAAGGAGAGGTACTCGTCGCCCCAGCAGTGCCTTAGGAGGCGCTTCGAAGGCGTCAGAATTTCCCAGTGAGCGGAAGAATCTCTCTTTTGAGAACTTCTCTTTCTGGTACGGGAACTTGCGCAGTTCTATCAAAGCCGTTCCAGTTAGCTGTGCTTCTGAAAAGCTTGTCTTTGGAAGGAGTGCTCGGCTACCAGGCCGGGCACCCCCTGGAACTTGGTGCAGCTCCTTGCCTTTGGGCACAGTTCAGTTCTTAAGCGCATTGGTGGTAAGAGTTGGCACTGAACTGCTTTGCTCTTATCTTGCATTCTTACCTTGTACGTACCTCTGCCAGCTCTCCTGAAGGGCTGTAGTAACCACTGACTGTAAGTATGTTGTTTGGAGATCACATTCTCTCTGTAGTATAACCAACATGAAATGGCACTGGAAGAAAAGGAGAGCTTCTGCTGACTTCTTATCATGGGCTGGGTTCCTAATTAATAACAATGAAAAGGTTAGCCTTAGAGGCTTTTACCTAGCCTTTGTAGTTTCCATGGTGTTAAAGTATTTCCAGCTTGGGGTCATGTGAAGTTTTCATTTGTATATGAGCTACTTCACTTGGTGAAGTTGCTCTCAGAAACTTCTGGAGGAGGATAGTATCATGCAGATGATAACTGCATGGTAACTCCAAACTGCAGCTTCATTTTTGTCACTGTGCCTCCCCTATGCACCTGGCCCTTTGCTCAGTTTCATCCAGTCTGCTGTGGAAAGAGCGATAAAGAAGTTGGTGTTCCAAAGTGGAGGTGGCAACCCCTGCTTTCCCTCAAGAGGGGTTGTGCATAAACTCATTGCAATCAATAGCCCAGGTTATACATGGGTATCCCATGGTTGTGCAGTGGGTGCAGCTTTTCTGGAAAATTAAGACCATTTCATCAGTACTGTCTATAATACTGAAGTCAGTAGAGTGGGATGATTTACCAGTGGTCTTTAAATCTTTTTCATTATTACGGTATCACAGTTACATAATAAGTACCTGTAACTGTAACAGAATTTTTCACTTAACTTACATTCACAAGCAATTTTGTTTTGGGACTCAATGCAAAGCAGAAACCTAGCAGAGTGGAGATAGCGAGGAACGAAAAATGGTTTGTAACTTTAAATCCTTATTTGCAGAATTATCAAGGGGAAACAAATGTAGGGATAACTGTGGTTATGCAATGTAAAAATTCAATGATCCTATTCTGTTTTCAAAGAATAAAGGTTTACTTTATAAAGTTAGTGCATTAGCCTCTCTCTTTTTTTTTTAATGTTACGAGAAAAGTTGTGTGGAAGTTAGAAATTAGAGTAGTTCAGTCTCTATGAGCATTCTGGATACACTTAGGTTCTGGTAATCCTTAATTATACAGTGCCCTGCTTCTTCTGGCCCAAACTATTAAAGTACTGAAGATTTATAGTAATGGAGGGAGGAAGAGAGCTGTGTAATGGCTTTACTATTCATTAAGCAACTCCTGTACGATACAAAGTCTGCAATGAATAGATACTCATTTCTGCATGCTCGTCTTCAAGCATGCTTCTTAATGTATTATTTTAATGGCTCACAGGTATTGATTCAACACCTCTTTGATATGAGAGAATATTGTTTTCCTGTCGTTAAAATTAGTGTAATAAACAAGATGTGATCTGGGGGTCACAAAAATAATCAATGGTGGAACAAAAGTGGAATTGAAATTCACCTGCCTCCATACTGCCCTGGCTTCTCTAGAAAATAACACTGGTCAGATGTCTCTATTCAGTGGCCATTAGAAGTGCCTGGCACTTTTTCATATCTGTCAAGAACGTGCAGTTAGTGCCTAGCACCACGCATCCTATTTTAACCCAGTGTTCACCTGGCAGCAAGGCAGTTGCAGATTCGAAATCTCTTGAATGTTGTACTGTTTCTCACATCCTCAGTCTTTTTGCCTGTTTTTTCCTACTGCAGCAGCAAGCAGAGCAGTGATCATATGGACTTCTTTATCCCTGCTTAGCCTTGATTGATCGTTGGAGTAGGGTCGTCCCCCCCCATGCTGAACAAGTAGGGGTCCTACTGGAAAACATGCTAAGTGCTCCTGGAGTTAAACATGGTGATAATGGGATAAACACACCAGGGGTTGAATTAGAGTTGCACAGGAAGCTTTCTGACTTGAGAGTGCTTTACTTTGAACCCAAACAATATTATATCTTTAATGCAAAAACAAATTCTGTCACACGTGCTGGCAGGGTCACTGTGGCTGCATGTCAGTGGCGCTGAAATGTTCCAGGCAGAAGCACAGCTTGAACTCAGGGCTAACCACATCACTTGGAAGAGGAGGAAGCTGTTTCTGTGAAGTTGAAGGGGGAAGGTCAGTGAGGCAATGAGCTTATTGCAGAGGTTGTTGGGATTTCACAATCCCGAGCTCTCTCCTCTGGCTTGCTTAAGTAGCAGGAGGGAAAAACTGGGGGCAGAGTCAGGGTCCTCTGGTGGTGGGTTGAACTTTGAATGGAGGGAGAAAATCATTTTGCAGCTTTCTTATCTCCTGCTTCACGCAGGGAAGTGTGAGGTAGTGTGTGTGTCATTTCCTTCCATGTCTCTGTACCTTCTAGATGCTGTCTTCACAATTTAGTGGGGGAGGCCTACTGTGCCTCTTCTCCTTTTGAAAAGGTGCCTTCACCTTCAGTTGTTTGTTCAGAATCTTTCGGTGGGTGTTTGGCAGAGTGGGATGTTGCTGTGTTTCTTTCTTGCAGTCCAATTATTATTGGTTATGCATGTTGTTGAAGGCCTGCTTGTTTTTATTTTTCCTTGCTACTTGATGCACACAGTAAGCTTTGGTTTTCCTTAGCTGAGAGAGATTTCAGAGGCTGCTTTTTTCACCAGAGGCATATTTTTTTTCTTCCCATAATGTAAATCAGACTGGTTTTGATTGGGATGTGGAGATTGAGTTGAAGGAATTTAGAATAGTTTTTAAAAGTTTTTGATATTGCTATGATCTGTGTATATATTTATAGCATTTGCATCTTTTACATCTTTTTCTCTTACCTTTGTAAGATCCATAATCTGTTGTCCTTTCACATTTCACAAAGTTTCTAGTTTTAATCTTCTGCTTTCATAGATTAAAAGTTTTGAAGATTTTTCTTAACTAGGAAAATGGAACAAAGCTTTCTTTAGCCCATATAGAGTTGGGTATAAGGTTCCATATTTGTTTTTTCTTCTTTGTCTTCAAAAAAATCCCCCAGCAACCCAAAGCTGAACAAAAACCTCTCTTCTTGCTGTAGAGACTGTTTCCTCCAGCCATCGTTCAGTTTCTTTAAATACAGTCATATTGTCCAGATTGCCTTATTTCTCTGTGACTTCTCTAAATTTGTGCTTGTATTAGTATTTTTTTTTACCTGCTTGTTTAGTTATATCCTGAAAACAGCGTGCAGAACTGAGCAAGATGAGAAAGCTATGAGGTGGATCCAGTGCATAATTTGAGAAAGCTCTGCTTCCCTTTCATTATTGTGCACTACACTAGTTCTGTTTACCTCTGATGTCCAGAAGAAACTAACAGTCCTTTTCGACCTTCTAGTCAGCTGTTGCTGGACTTGCTCCTTATACTCTTGTGGTTAAGAACAATCACCTATGGACACTGTAGCTCTTCTTCATTGCCTGGCTCAATTTTTTTTTTTGTTTTAAAGGATGGTCTTGTTTAAAACTTCTCTCTTCAATGGTTTGAAGTATCCTTTTCACATTTCCTTGGCTTTCATGAATGCCTGTGCTTGCTGAAGAATCTGACTTTGCAGGATAAACCAGAGTGATTACAGTAGACATCTTCTAAGTAGACAGGTATTTACAGCTCTGGTAATATATTTGTGTTCGAATAGTAACGGAATAAGAATAGAAACAGCTAGGTGAAAAACTGCACAGAGGCATTCCTGGTAAGAAATAACCTCCAGTGATTTGAAACATAGTTCAATTGTCTCTGCCATAAATTTGAGAGTAAGTGTCATATATGGGTGATAAAAATGGCATAGGCTATTTTTTATATACTCATTATTCTCTTAGTTTGTCTTTTTCAATTAACGTGGAGTCTATCTTTCTCATCTGACTGGGTTTACGTTTCTTTCATAATCATATGTCAACAAACCACAATAGATGCAGCATAATGTAGCATACAGTGTAAATCTTTGGGTTAATCCTTAACATTTTTTATTATAGTTCATTTGGAATCACTTTGTAACTTGATCATGATTTGTACTGGTGTGGTTTTTTCAGGATAAGCTTAATGTGTTACAGCTTGGTCTTTTTTCACCTCTTTAATGGAGAGAGATGATGTTTGACTACTTGGTCAAAGAGATTATAGTCACTGATGATAATTTTATTTAATTTAAGAGCAACTCGTTTTTACTTTCATGTTTATTTCATTTGAGGAGTCTTAGCAGCTTAGGTGTACTTCTGGTTTCTAAATCACTAACAGAAATTGTTGAGTGTCAGTGTTTATCAATGTATTCACTGTTGGTGGCAACAAGGCCAAGTAGCCTTGCTTTTGGAGATCAAAGGCGCAACAGTTTCCAGAGGCATTCCTTTCCAGGACTTTG